AAGAGACCAGGTCGGGCTTGAGGGCAGTGGTTGAGATGCATAAAATGCCACGCAATTTGGAGTCACTCATCCTTGACCTAAATCGGTTCTTATTTAAGTTCATGACTGAGAATGTTTGCTCACACAAATATGTAGAGCCGAATAACCACAGAATTTTCTTAGCGAATGACCACATTTCTGGAAACCTGCTTTTGTCCAGCTGCCGGTAAAAGTCAACAAGAGAACACTGCTGGTGTTTCCTGTGGCACTCATCGTCAAACTGCAGCTCAATGAGCTCCAGATGCAGCTGTGGAGGAGCATCATCAGGGCCCATGGAGAAGGGAGAAGAGAAAAGCAACATGTCCTTTCAATAACTGCAAAGTCCCGAAAGCGTTTGTTAAATTCCACAGAAAAAGATGCGATAGCTGTTGCATAACTCTTCATTTGCGCACCGATGTTGTCCTGTGGGAAAATGTCAATTACCTCTTTCAAAGCTGGGAAGTGCGCGGTGCAGGGCTCTGTTTGGGACAAGTGTCTTTGGAAAAGTTGCAGTTTGGTTCCAAAGGATTTGGTGTGAGCATATAGCTGGCTCACCACTGCATCTTTCCCTTGAAGATTAACATTCAGCGCATTCAGATGCTTCGTTATGTCAACCAAAAAAGACAGATTTACCAGCCATACAGGATCGGACAGTTCTTCCATTGGTTGTCCCTTCTCACCCAAAAAATGTCCAATTTCCTCTTTGAGAGAGAAAAATCGCTGCAGTGCGGACCCCCGACTTAGCGACCTCACATCGTTGATATATTACGTCACCGTATTCAGCCTGGATGTCACGCAAGAACTGCTAAACTGTCGGTGATATATAGCTTTAGCGCGAATAGAATTGATTGCCTTTGCCACTGGTTTCATAACATCGTCAAATTTGAGATGTTTGGCGCAAGAAAACCTGCTGGTGAATGATACAGTGAAGTTAAATAGCGTTACCTGCTTCTTCGCTGACTTTATTGCAGATCAGTGTGGACAATCCACTTCGTTCACCAGCCGTGGCAGGTGCACCATCGGTAATGATCCCAAAAACTTTACTCCATGGTAGTTTCATATCAACAGCTTCACAAACAGAAACGAATACATCTGTTCCTCTGGTTTGCCCTTTAAGGCTTTTGAGGTCAAGCAGCTCCTCTGCCACGTTCATGTTGTCATCAACTCCTCTTTAAAAAATAAGTAGTTGTGCAGTGTAAGATGCATTGGTGCTTTCATCGCAGGCTAATGAGAAATAATCAAAAGCCACTCCCCTGTCCCCCAGTTGTCTCGGAATATCTGACGATATGTCCTCAACTCTCCGTGCCACAGTGTTACGTGCCAGGCAAACATTCATAAATTCTTGCTTCTTCTCGGGGAAAATGTTCTCCACCATTTTAATGACACAGTCTTTGATAAACGCACCTTCAGTAAAGGTTTGCCATGTTTAGCTATTAATATGGTCACTTCGTCGCTGGCTTTGGTGATGTTTTCCTTTGACTCACAGGCCGGCGTGAAGAATCGCTGTTGCGATACCAGAGCAGCTTGAAGTTGCTTTACTTTTTCAGCGCGGCCACTCCCTGTTAGCTTGTCGTATGTTGTAGCATGTTTAGTCTCGTAGTGTCTCTTTACGTTGAAATCCTTAAACAAGGCATCCGTCTCTTTACAAATTAGACAGGCACAATTTCCTCGATTTCCAGTGAAGAAGTATTGTAATTCCCACCGCTCCTGAAAGCGGCGGCCCTCACTGTCAACTGTTCTATTTTTTTTTGCAGTCGCCATGGCAGAAATGATTCAAGAAGGGTTCGCGGAACGGATGCAAAATTAGAGAGCATTAGAATGGTGCTGCCGCCGTGTGGCGGAAAGAGGAATTTATTTATTCTGAGAGAGCTAGCGAGCCATAAATAACACATTATAAGAACGAAGCTGCGGGCCGTATGAAATCTGCCCGCGGGCCGTGATTGGCCCGCGGGCCGGACTTTGGACATGCCTGATGTAGACAGAGTGGCTCATTGAACCATCAGGTCTCCTTTTAATTAGGACATCCAAAAAGGGTAGCTTGTCATCTTTTTCGACTTCCATGGTGAATTTGATGGCTGGGTGTATGGAATTGATGTGGTCGAGGAATTGGTCTAGAGCAGGCCGGCCATGTGGCCAGATGACAAAAGTGTCATCTACGCACCTCTTCCATAAGGTCGGGCGTAGAGTGGCAGTCTGGATGGCGTCAGTCTCAAATTTCTCCATGAAAACGTTGGCTACAACCGGAGATAGGGGGGAGCCCATTGGGGTGCCCTCAGTTTGTTTGTAGAAAGTTCCATTCCAGGTGAAGTATGTATTGGTTAAGCAGTGTCTCACCAGGGGGGTTACCCCAGTATTCAGTCCTTGATGAACCAAGTCTTCAATGATTGCGATGGTGTCAGGTACAGGAACTTTGGTGAATATGGAAACCACATCAAAACTGACAAGCAGGTCGTCTAGGGACAGGGAAATTCCCTTGATTGTCGATACCAGGTCAGTAGAGTTTAGTACCGCAGAGGTGGTTTTTCCAGTGAAAGGCCGCAGGATTTCAGACAAAAAACGAGCCAGTTTGTAGGTGGGGGAGTTGATAGTAGAGACAATGGGACGAAGGGGTGTATCTTCTTTATGTATCTTTGGCAAGCCATTTAATCTTGGTGGCCTGGCTGCAGAAGGTTTCAACGAGAACTGTTTGGTTTGATCAATTAATGCGGTTGAATCAGAAATGATTTGTTGGTTTTAATGACGAGGCTGTTGGTGGGGTCTCTTTTTTAATCCTTTATATTAAGTTCGCTTGCTTGCGTGCATGCTTAGGACCGTGCAAATCTTGCGGTCGTTTTTTAACCCACTTCCCGTGATCCAATCGAGCTGACATTTTCCACACAGACTCGTTGTGCCAGACAATTATTGTTCGTGAAAAAAAATTCCCAAAATGTTACACTTTTTAGGCAAAAAAAAATTATTTTACATATATTCAAATAGAACGCATTCATGGCTTTGGCTGAACGTCAGAGTGTTAGAGCCCAGAGCGTAACCCCTCTACAGGCCGTGGTGGAGTAGCGCAGTTGGTAGCGCCCTCGCTTCCCATGCCAAAGGTCGCGGGATCGATCCCCGCGTCCTCCACAGGCGAATATATTTTTAAATCCTTTATATTAATTTCGCGTGCTTGCTTGCTTGCTTGCGTGCTTTCTTGCGTGCTTGCTTGCTTGCTTACGACCGTGCAAATCTTTCGGTCGTGTTTTAACCCACTTCCCGTGATCCAATCGAGCTGACATTTTCCACACAGACTCGTTGTGCGAGACAATTAATGTTCGTGAAAAAAAATTCCCAAAATGTTACACTGTTTAGGGAAAACAATCATCTGACCCATAGGTGGCAGCCATCTCAAGCCAGAGGACGAGAGGACTCTAGCCGCCACGCATATAAAGGATTTATAGTGAAAAACTTTGTTTTTACGGGTTATACTTATTAAATCCTTTATATTAAGTTCGCTTGCTTGCTTGCGTGCTTGTTTGCTTGCTTGCGTGCTTGCTTGCTTGCTTGCGTGCTTGCTTGCTTGCTTACGACCGTGCAAATCTTTCGGTCGTTTTTTAACCCACTTCCCGTGATCCAATCGAGCTGACATTTTGCACACAGACTCGGTGTGCGAGACAATTAATGTTCGTGAAAATGTTTTTCCTAAATTTTACACTGTTTAGGGAAAACAAATTAAATATTTAATTACCAATTGTTTAATACTGCAGACAATCATCTGACCCATAGGTGGCAGCCATCTCAAGCCAGAGGACGAGAGGACTCTAGCCGCCACGCATATAAAGGATTTAGAGTGAAAAACTTTGTTTTTACTGGTTATACTTATTATTTTTATATAGCTGCCATCGTTGAGTAGTTCTTGAATTTTGTTGTATTCTATTTTGTCCATGATGACAGTGGCATTGCCTTTGTCGGCTGAGAGGATGACAATGCCATCCCTCTTTTTTAATTGAGCTAATTCAAAACGCTCATCTTTGCTGATGTTGCTAGCTGGCATATTAGCGTTTTTGAGGGTTGCAGCGATTTCAGATCTTGCTACGTCTGCAGCAATGTGACCCAGGCCCTTGAGAGCCACATCTACTCGGGCAATGATATCATTAACTGGTATGTGTCTAGGTGTGACTGCAAAGTTTAGTCCTTTAGCTAAAACGGATTTCAGACCATCAGAAACAGAACTGTTACTGCGATTAATTACGACTTTGTTAACGTCTAGCTTTTTGGTGTGTGGGTCCGGTCTCTTGTTAGAACGTGACTTTACCGAAAGAACCAAGAAGATAATTCAAATTAGTAAACAGTAATATCTATATATGTTTTAAAGGAGCTGTTAATATGCGCGACTCACCTTGTAGCTTGTCCACGGGAATGAGAATCCCCCCAAATTTGTGTGTGGCATGTTTACAAAATGCCTGGGGCCGATTTTTCTTTTTAGTTCCCAGTCCCTGTCAATTGGGTGACGTTCACGCCTGGTGGTGGTAGTTGTTGTGGTTATTGTGGTGGTGGAAGTTGTTGCGGTGGTTGTTGTTGTTGTTGCTCAACCGCCTTCTGCAGGTTGCCCCTCAGTGCCTGTTTGTTTTTGTTGTCGCCGCCAACGCTGGACTCCATCAGTGGCGGGAATCCAGAGTATCAGAATCTGTGTTTGTAGTGCAGGAGGAATCCGATGAGCTGTGAAGCTCTTTGTGTTCACAGATGGTGCAATGGTGAGGGGCGGGCGTGGGGGCAGCGTGCGTGTTGACGTCACCACGTCCACGACGCAGCAGAACAGCTCGGACATTGATGGCGCCTTTTGTGTTTGTCGCCATCTCTTGATTTATTTATTAATTTGTAGATATAATTTGCTTTGCAGTGGCTGTGTAGAGGATTTGGTCCTCGTGTTTAATTAATGAACAGCGTTGCGGGATGCAGTGAGCACGAATGACGCTGTACACAACTAAATTGTTGTTGTTTGTGTTCAGTATTTTTATTGTAGAATCAACGATACAGGCTAATAGTTGTGTGGAAACCCTCTGTGTAGAGGCAGTTAAATCTTGATTAAAAGCTTTCGTGACTGCAGGCTAATAGTTGTGTGGAAACCCTCCACGAAGAGGCGGTTAAATCCAGGCATCTACCCTACGTCCTTCCTTGTGGAAGAGCTATGTAGATGACACGTTCGTCATCTGGCCACATGGCCTGCCAGCACTGAACCTATTCTTCAACCACATCAACTCCATACACCCAGCCATCAAATTCACCATGGAGATGGAAAAGGATGGCAAGCTACCATTCTTGGATGTTTTAATCGAAAAGAGACCAGATGGCTCATTGGGACACTGTCTACAGGAAAGCTACCCTCATCAAAACCCTACACCATAGGGCCCATTGCATCTCCGAACAGCACCACCTAGCCAGTGAGCTGGAGCACGTACACCAAGCCCTCAAGATGAATGGATATTCGGACCACACAATCCGCAAAGCTGTCACTCCAACCGTGGGGAGAGAACCATCTGAGGACCCAATCAAAACCATCATCTTGCCATACATAGCAGGGGTCACCAAAAATATTTCCAAAATCATGAACAAACACAAGATCCAGATTCGATTCAACACAGTACATACAATTCGTGACCTGGTCCCGTCTGTGAAGGATGTGATCCCTGACATGCAATACCCCAGTGTCTACAAACTAAGTTGTGTTTGCTGCAGTAGTTACATTGGGAAAACTTAACGACATGTCTCGGACCGTGTTCGTGAACACAAGGTAGATCTGAAACATGGTAGGACCAATACCTCTGCCGTTGCCGATCATTGTTTTCACGCTGTGGGTTCACACGAAATTAAATTTTCCAAGACGAAGGTACTCTGCAAGCCCACTGGCTAGCATCAAAGATTTGTTCATAAAGCCATATAGATATATAAACACAGACACAACTTCAACCGAGAAGATGGATACAAACTGGGCAATCATTAACCAGGTTAAGTCTTAACTGGCTGTGATGTTTCCATCCTACCTGCTGATGTTAGCAGTTATTTCCGACTCTCTGAGTTACATTCACTAACACAGCCAACCGTTAGGTGTGTTAGTAAATGGCAGCTTGCTACTACATCGTCTGGGCCCTCGCCGAGCTTACATTTATAAGCAAGTTTCCGTCTACTACTCGCTCCTCAAAATTTTATCTCCTACTCGCTCCTACATTGGCATTAGCTGCCCCGCCCATCTCTAAACCTTTATAAACAGCCTGCCTCAGCAGATTTCACCCTCTTTTTCACCTGAAGATGATTGCTTGTGTTGCGATCGGAATGTCGTGATTTTTCTTTTATTTTTTTACGTGACTTTACTAAAAGACCCAAACAGTATGATACAAGTGTAGTGCCATACGACATCACTACTGTGTCAGGACTGTACGAGCATAGGAACATATGACGTCACTACTGTGTTGGCTCTGTATGGGGGCTGTAGGTGGGTGTCACGGAGGTTGTGTCAGGCCATGACACTCTGCATGAACCCAACAGGACACGTGTCCGGACAAAGGGGGGACAGAGGCCCCAGGGGAGAGTTTGGTGGTCACGTGGTTGGGGACCCGGACCTTCCAGAAGGATCGAGAAAGGGGGCGTGGCCTGGGGCAGGGCCAACCATGCCGCAGCAGATATAAGCGGGGTGTGAAGACAGGGCGTGGCTGTTCAACCCCGGGATGAAGACTTTACCGAAACATCCACGTTGGCTTCACACACACAGCGGTACTTATTTTATCACCCCTCAACTCCCAAGGAAGGTTGTGAGGATTGTTTACGCTCAGCCCCCCCGTTGTGATGAAGAGCCACGCATCCCCTAGCCACCGACAGCCACCAGCCAGTCACGGGCGTGGCGCTGCACGTGACGATGACGAGGGTGGCGAGCGCCGTGCGGCGTGGTGTCTGCCCTCTGCACTGTTCACGTTCACCTCTCTCAGGACGCGCCACTCAGATCCACAATCCTCATTGAGGCACCCCAACCCAATCCCAGTCCAGGATGTAAGGGCTGAGAGAAGGTTTGGTGAAACGAGTGCAACGGCGCCATGGATTCGGTGCTGTAAAACGACAGCAGCCCCGCGTCCCAGTCCAGATGAACCCCGACTCTCTGCGGAGGCTCCAGCACCGACATTGAGGTCTCTACCCCGCCATGCCGTACTGAGAATCTGTCGCCACGTTTCAGTAGACACCAGGAGACGTCACTCCCTCCCAGGCGGCACTCAGCACCATTCCCTCTCCGTGGGATCGTCCCATACGCTACTCCAACCTGAAACCAACCCATACGCCCCACGTCCACCTCCCAGTAGTGCTGACCCGACGAGAAGCTCTCAGAGCACAGGACTTGGTGACAGACATCAAAGCGGTGTGGGTGATGGGGGCGACCCTGAGGGACATTGCTCAGTGTCACCGTCCTGAGATCCGAGGAAATTTGGAGGTAGTCGTAGGCTGAGTTTTTGTCCAGAGTCGGTGAGCATCCATCTGCGGTGAGGACAGCGACGACCCCCGCACAGCGGTCATGGCAACGCGTTCGCAGTAGCGGCACGAGCAGTGCACACGGCATGTACACACACGTGGCATATTCACACACACACGCTGGTGTTGTGTTGTCTGTTGTGTTGTTGTGGTCATACCGCAATACGTGATACATTGATACGTATCACTGTGATCATCACGCATATGACAAATGCATACAGGACTAAAATTCATTAGTATTAGTGTACACACACTAATATTCGTTAGTATTAGTGTTCACATACAAATATTCGTTAATATCTGTGTACACTTATCGATATTCGTAGTATTAGTGTACACATACTAGTATTCGTTAGTATTAGTGTACACATACTAATATGCAGTTTAACACGTTGGCATTCATGACCATTATTATCCATAAGAGAGGTTTTTGGGTTAGATTGCGTAAATATGTAAATGTGTCGTTAAAACCCCGCCACCACCCGACATAGCTACCTTCTTAGTGCTGTGTGGAAGCGAATCTTCAAATAATACATTATTTAAATGCATGCCTACAAAGGGCATCGTACTTCAATAGGGATTACCGTTGGTAGGGCTATTTTAATAAACACAATAAACAGGAAGGACAAGTTCAAAGAGCTCGCATAATGCACATGCATAATGTACGTTGCCTCAGTAATCCCCCCCCACCCCAATATTGTGTAAGAGCGCAGAAGGGTCAACACATCTATGCCTCATTATAAGAAACGAAACAGTAAGACTTCTCCACAAATCTGGATGTCGCTGATGAACCTAGTTGTAATTACTGGTGAAACGTCATACTCAGTATGTAAATTTTGTGGCTTGGTTTTTCGACACACCGGTGTGCTGTACTAGTGGCGCATTGGCCACGTTCTGTTTATGTGACAACCCTCACTAGTTGGCTGTGTTGGGTGGTGGTGGCTTTTGACGACAAATTTAAATATTTACGCCATCTAACCCAAAAACCTCTTATGAATAAATAAAATTAGTAATACACTAACATGACCATGGGTGTGTGTGCAGTGGCAGTGAACAGTGGTGATGATGCCAGCACGACGTTGATGCCACTCTCACATCGTCTCTCTACAAACACGATGCCTGTACAATAGCCACTACAGCCTCACACGCAAAAAGACAAAGATCCCCCGTATAGCCGTAAATAGACTGTAGAGGCAAGTGCTGTTAGCGAGCACCTATGAAGGCCAGCATGGCACACGAGGGGGTTGGGTGAACAACACCACCCCTAGCCGCCTTTGTCTCCCTAGTGGCGATGTTTACACATCGCATCAGGTACTCATTTGAGGCTGAGTCGACCTAGGGGAGGCCCTGGACCAGTTCAGCTAATCTTCACTGATGTTGGCCGTGAGCGGGATTGGAAATTGGATCCCCAGGTTTGTAGCGCAGCGTAGCGCTAACCACTATACTACCTCCCCGCACCGTGCACGTCGTGGGGGGGGGGGGGGGGGGTTATTTGACCATACTTCACCACTCTCATCGGTGCGCGTTGGCGATGGTGAACGTAGAAGCGTAGAGGTGCAGTACAATAGTTCACGCTGCACTGCCCTCTGCTGGTGTGATGTGTAAACATTCGACGAGGGAGACAAAGGCGGCCGGGCGTGGTGCTGGCCACCCACCCCCTCGTGTGCCGTACAGGTCTTCATAGGTGCTGCTGCTCGCTATGAGCACTTGCCCCAGTACCCAGCAGTTTGGTTTAGTAGAATATTGAAACTGTTAAACGAATATTATTTCATACTCTTTGGTTAAATAAAAAATAATAAATCACGATGTTTCGATCGCAACACAAGCAATCTTCATCAGGTGAGACAACTACAGCAAGAACACTGCCGAAGTAGGCGAGAGATCTGCCGTGACAAGAGGTTATATGGGTAGAGATAGGGGTGGGGCAGAAATAAGAAAGGGGGGAGGCAAGGGGGGACAGAGAGGGGGGTGGGGCATAGATAATCGATGGAAGGGGGGAGAGAAGCTGTGTTAGTGATGTTAATGTGAGAAATTAGCATGTAAATGTAGATCGGAGAGGGGCCTCCAGGATGGGGACGCGGAGGTGGCTATGTTAATGTTGGAGATTAGCATATTAATGTAAGATCGCAGAGAGAACACCAAGTCGAGATCGCCGCGTGGAGGTGGTTACGTTGGTGTGAACATATTTTAAGCTGTTAATGTAAGATATTAGCATGTCAAAGTCAGAGAACCGGGTACAGAAGCACATCGAGGGCCACAGGATCTGCAGCGTTGGCCGCGGCGCTGTGAGAGGAAAGCATGTAAAGGGCTATGATGGCTGAGCCAGTGAGACAAACAGCCCATGAAACAGCAAGAGCCATCGATACATCTAGGCTAAGGGAGCAAAAGGCGGCCATGTTAGTGATACCGTAGCCCGTTAAAGCAAGGGCATCTAACAGGGTAATACAACTCAGAGAGTCGGAGGGTAACAGCCAAACGGCAGGCAGGATGGAAACATCACAGCAAGTTATGACTAACCTGGTTAATAACGTCCTTCCAATGATTGCTTAGCTTATACCAGTGTCTCACACTCTTGTCACGGCAGCTCTCTCGCATACTTCAGCAGTGTTCTTGCCGTAGTTGTCTCACCTGATGAAGATTGCTTGTGTTGTGATCGAAACGTCGTGATTTAATATTTTTAATTTTATATTTTCTCTACCTACGTGACTTTACCGAAATAACCAAAGAGTATGAATTCCTTCAGCCACAAAAGCTTCAAATCAAGATTTTATTCTATTTCACCAGGTAGAGTGCACTGATCCATGTCGCTCTCTTTCAGAGTCTGCGTCTCTCTCCCCGTGGTGGCTTGGATTTCTCCCTGGTTCCTCGCGTTTTTCCCTCTACATTTATAATCAATTTGCATTCAGAGGATTTGGCTGCTGCCATAAATATCCACGTGATGAGCCACTTCGTAGAGCTGTCATTTGTGACAATCAGGTCGCTTGGCGACAAAAGAGCTAAATGGTACAGTGGGTTCCTTACCTGGGAAATTAAAATGAAATGTTGATGAAGGTGAGGAGCACAGAAGTGCAGTGCAACGCAGCGGGACACGCAGATGCAAGACTGAGGAACTCACAGATGAGAGGCAGAAATCTGTTCGCGACCCTTTCAAGGAAGCGGATCGTGGTGGCGTCCAGTGAAGTGGGAGGTGGGGTTGCAGATTCGTTTGGGATCTCTCTCCTGCGACAACCACCAACAGCATCACACACAGACTCTTTCAACAAATGCAATGGAAGACTCAGCATTCATAGCACACACAGCCAGTGCCTCACACACAGCCCGTGTCTCACACACAGCCCGTGTCTCACACACAGCCCGTGTCTCACACAGCCCGTGTCTCAATCAGCCCGTGTCTCACACACAGCCAGTGTCTCGTATCCAGCCCGTGTCTCACACACAGCCCGTGTCTTACTTAGCCCGTGTCTCACACACAGCTCGTGTCTCACACACAGCTCGTGTCTCGCACACAGCCCACATCTCATACAACTCCCGTGTCTCACACAAAGCCCGTGTCTCACACACAGCCAGTGTCTCACACAGCCCGTGTCTCACACACGTCCCGTATCTCACACAAAGCCAGTGTCTCACACACAGCCGTGTGTCACACAGCCCGTGTCTCACACACAGCCCGTGTATCACACACAGCCAGTGTCTCACACACAGCCAGTGTCTCGTATCCAGCCCGTGTCTCACACACAGCCCGTGTCTCACTCAGCCCGTGTCTCACACAAAGCCCGTGTCTCACACACAGCCAGTGTCTCACACAGCCCGTGTCTCACACACGTCCCGTATCTCACACAAAGCCAGTGTCTCACAGACAGCCGTGTGTCACACAGCCCGTGTCTCACACACAGCCCGTGTATCACACACAGCCAGTGTCTCACAAACAGCCCGTGTCTCGCACAGCCGTGTCTCGCACAGCCCGTGTTTCACACACATCCCGTGTCTCACACACAGCCAGTGTCTCACACACAGTCAGTGTCTCATACACAGCCCTTGACTCACACACAGCACGTGTCTCACACAGCCAATAATATAGGTTTTTGGGTTAGATCGCGTTATTTATAAATGTGTCGTAACCCTCCACCACCCGACACGGCCAAACAGTAAAAAAATGTCACGTTGACAAAAGACAAATAGTTCACTGCTTTAGCACACCAGTGTGTTGAAGCGTGAAACCATAATATTTACAATTTTTGAGTACGACGTTTCGCTGGTAATTACATCCAGCTTCATCGGACAAGCATGGTGAAGAGCACCTCTTGCTCCCGGTTTTAAATAGAACAGAAGCAGGATGACGTCATCATTTAATTCATTCTGGTGCAGTGATTCGAGGCGGAGAGGGTGGGGGGATTGTAATTATATAGATTGGTAATCAATGCAATTGTTGTTCATTGGGATTTGTTTCCCTTATAAGGAATTGTAATTGTATTATATATTTTATTTAATAATACGCTTCCGATGAAGCTGGATGTAATTACCAGCGAAACGTCGTACTCAAATTTTAACTGATGTTGATTCTCTCTTCAACACACCGGGGGGCTAAAGAACTGAATTATTTTGTCCTTTGTAAACGTCACACATTTTTTACTGTTTGGCCATGTCGGGTGGTGGAGGGTTACGACACATTTATAAATAACGCGATCTTACCCAAAAACCTATATTATGAATATAGGCCGCTGTCGGTAGCCTAAAAGAGGCCTAGAAATAGGGTTTCGTTCCACCAAGTGGGGCACTACCTACTTTTTTAATATTTAACATCAGAAATATATAGAGATTCCTTAGGAAAAAGTTCTCCGCACACAACCTTGCAGTTTTTGAGAAAAATGATGCTAAAGGTGCCCATTTTGAAAAAAGGGAAACCATAGGGAATTTTGCACTTTTAAACCTGTTAATCATATAAACCCAAAAATGCAGAATTACCACTTGAAGTACAAAATTAACCAGTTTGAAATGTGTGATATACCTGAAGTTGCTATCTATGCACAGTAAACATGATAAGATTATCAAGAAAACTTCTGCTGTAGCATTAACATCCAAATTACTTCTCATTATGTTGTTCCAATTGAAAGGTAATATTTGAGGTAAAATCTGAATAACAAATATAATTAAGACAAAATATAATATATAAAAAAGCACTTTTCAAAATAACACATTTAATGGTGAATTGTCAATTCGCATACATGAGCAGCAACTGCACTTACATGTACATATTCACAGCAATTATTATTGTAAACAAGATTGAATTTTGATTGATTTATATTAAATATATATGTCCTATATTAATTTTATTATCATATACACATCACTAAATATCAAGATCACTGTCCTCACTATCAGATTCACATGAAACAATATCCTCAGTTAATCTCACATTGTCACAATGAACACATTTACATAGGTCAGTGCAGGCCAGGTCAGCCTTGTGGCATGAGCACCTTCCACCTGTACAAGTACGAGACTTACACCCACAGTGGAGTGACCCCAAAATCTGTTGAGAAGCTGGATCTTTAGTCATCCATGATATGATGAGATCACCATCCTTGACAATCCATCCAAAGCCGTCTGGACTGGGAGCATTTATAAAAGGATCCAATGCTCTCCTGTGGATTGCAGCTAGGTAGTTAGCACGCTTGAAGTGCTCTGTAAGTGCATCTTTTGTTGGAGGTAATGCCTGTTCGGAAGAGGCCTGGACACAGAACCTATTGTATCTGGCCAAATTAACATCTGATACCTTTTCCCCATACAGCTCACACACAAAACGTTCTATGGTCACAAATGTGGTGCTGTCCATTTCAAATTGCCTCCCAAGAGCAACAAATGCACGGACGTACTCTGCATTTCCAGACACTATATTTAGTGGTTTCTCTTTTCCTTTCCCATAAAAGGAACTAGTTGAGTCACAGCCAGTGAATGTGTGTAGTCCTATCAGTGCCTCTGTTAGTGAAGGACCCAAAGCAGAACCAATAGCCTGGAGATCTAACATTCTTTGCCTGTCTTTTGTTCCTGTCAGAAAGTACATCTTTGCTGAGGGAAGCTTAGCCATTATTGAAAGTGAAATGATAGCAACATCAGTGTCAGGACTCTAGATGATTATCTTATTATAAAGTTCACTCCAGGCATGTTTTGCATGAAGTAGGAGCCTCGTGTCTGCTTCTTCATGGTCACAAGTCAAAGATTCTACCTCTTTGACAGACATAATGCCATCTTTAAGAGTGAGTTGATGACATACATTTCTGTGTGCCACAAAGATAGCTATGTCTTTTCCAGCTGCTTGTAAAGGCACAGTTCTCCATGTCTCAAAGAGAAAGTCTGTCAAGGCTTTTTTATTTTCACCACTGGCTAGAAACTTGGTCCACTGACTTGGAGTCTTCTGCTTGATGCTGTATTTTTGCAGTAATTGTTGTCCAGCAACAGCACGTCTTGATCGTTCAGCATTTTTGATGCTCACTGCCGGGTAGCGATCAATGACAAAATCGACCCTTGGACAACTGAACTTTCTACCCATCTTAATCATAAGTTGAAGAAGATCATCAGCAAGCTCACCGAATGTGTCTGGTATATTCTTGAGACTCCTGATCAATGCCATGCCATCTATGCACCATTATCACCAACAGTCTTGTTCACATGACAGTCCTTGTTCTTTGATCCTAAACAAGCTAGAAAAGCAGCCTTATTTGTTTTGGCTAATGAACCATCACTGCTTGCTAGCGGGGATGAGATATTGCCAAGTGAATATGTCAGAATCTCTTTCAAGTTTACAGACAGGGATTGACTTATCACTAACAGTCGTGCAAAGAGTCTCCTGTCATTTTTTAGAATGACTTGATTTCCATCTTTTGTCTCTGATGATTTCTTCATTTGATCCCCAAACGTAGTGAGCTTCAATGACTTTATTGGAGAGAAGAAGTCTGTTTTTGATGACTGGACTCGATCTTGGATGAAAATTTTCAGAGCTGTTTCACCTTTATCACAAGCACTTTGTATGTCATCTCTGACAGTCTTTGTAGCAACAACACCAGAGCTAATACCTACAAGATCTTCACGAGGCAGCAAGGGATTGATCATAGACTCAACCGCTGAAACCAAAGATATAACAGCAGCATTGTCTTTTGCAATTCTTGTTGCATCCAACTCTTTATGACCCCTCTCTTCATGTTGCATTCCAGCCATCATTTCACACTGCCTTGTGATTGCAGAACGTTCAGGATGAGACAGTATCCATTGCTGGACGGCACCTCTGTTCAATGTTATCCCAGTTATGCCGCCTTTGGTCTTTGAATCACGGTTGCAGGTTTGTTCTATTGCTTGGTCACAAGCTATGGATGAGAACCTGTTAGCATCCTTACGCTGTACTGTCCAGTTTCCTTTTGCAGTAACTTCTTCATAACAGTGTGGATGAGTATTTGGAAGATTGATCATCTCGACCCAATATGCTGATAGGTACCTTGCATAATTTTGGCGGTCATATGCAAAATACAATGCCAGCATACGTCTCACTGTTGCTAAGTGAAGGCTCCAGTCAGAGCATTAGATAGGACATGTATATTTAAAGCCCTACCTTCTATAGAGAAAAAATTTGATTATGGAATTACATTGCATTCACACGCAATATGTAAATGTAATTGGAGTGACCCCACAGATTTGTGAACAAACATTTTTTTTTTACCTACCTATATGTTTTTCAGTTTTGCTGAGAAATCTTGTGTAATCTCGATAGCAGGATTTGTGGTATCGGACCTCAATTGCAATGCAGTCTTTCCCACGAATGTGTGTCAGAATGCTCTCATCTGATTTCATTTGAGCTGCCTCACGAAGAAGTCCTATATTAAAGATATGAAGAATAAATTATAAACCCAGTTGGCAATATATTAACTTGCATAACATTCAATTCAAGTGAGTAAACATACCTGTGTTAATCGAGCTTGATCGCCGCTATCAGATGAAGCTGCGCTGCTTAAGTCCTCCTCCATGTTTACATGTGCGTAGTGATATTGGCTTGATTTTTGCTCTGACCTACTTACATTTTCGATGCTGATTGGTTGAAAATCTAGCTCAACAGTTTTATATGTCTCAATACGCAGTCAATATAGTGCGCCAATAAATTACACTTTTCTCATTAACTGCAGGATAATGCGTGGAGAACTTTTTGCTTGGATACCTTTTATTAACGTTGAACATATTGAGCAAAAGAAAAAGTAGTGCCCCGTTTTTCGGAACGAAACTGAACGATACAGCTCACGTACAGCGGCCTAATACTATTGGTCGCGAAATCCTTCGTGTTAAATTGACACAGCCAATGTCTCACGCAGCCCATGTCTCACATACAACCGGTGTGTCTAACACACACATCCTGTGTTGTGAGTGTTTAACCGTGGTACGTTAAGGATCATACCTGCGCGTCTCCTCCAGGTGCCCCTGTGGAAGAGATAGAGATCATGAGTGACGTCTCTACCCTTGGACCATGAGTCCCCCTGCCGCTGCCTTCTCTGTTATTCTGGACACCATTGACGTCTCCACAGAGGCACTCCCCACCTGCAGGAAGGCGAGCGAGTCCCTCTTGTGCTGCAGAACGTGCAGGCGAGTGGCCGCCACCTGGAGCTCGCCGATCTCCCGCTTGTGACGAGCAATGTCCTCGTCGATCCGGGACAGCAGCTCGCGCTCTTTCACGGCCACCCGACGTAGAGTCTCCCTCTCGTCCTCGTCCAGAGCCTTCCTTAGGCGGGCGAACTTGCCCGTGATGCGACCCCTGATCCCGGCCACCGATTGCTGCAGAGATGCGGGAACCACGATTGGCTCCCTGAGCCATGAGCCACTCCGTGTGTGCGTGTCGGCGCCGCGGTTGCTCGGAGATGTTGACTCCCTCTCCTGGTATACATCAGGTCGCGGTTTAGATCCCGACACTGACGCCTGTATATTTGGAGTTTGTTCTCTCTGTAGTAGCATGGACTTTCGCTGGTTCTTCCGGTTTTTACCTCCACATTTAGAATCAACGTCGCTCGTTCAGTGTATTTGGCTGCCGTCAATTTCCATGTTACAATCAGCCACTTGGTTGAGCTATCATTTGTGCTAGCCAAATTGCATACAATAAAGAGCTACACAGCTCAGTGGGCCTTACCTGGTAAAATAATAAAATATTCTCTAGTGGTGAATCATGCCCCAGTGACGAGGGGCTAATGGGACTGAGTCGATCCATGCCAATGGGGCAAGAGTGGTGCGGCTATTTTCTTGTTTCTCCCCTAGAGGGTGCTGGGGTCGTGGATGTTGAGACTCGGGCACTCGGAGTCTGGTGGGGGCCCCCTCGTGGGTCTGACGAGATGTGGCGAGATGGTAATTACCTCACCTGGTGTACAGGGGGTCGTGAGTTCGATCACGACCCTCATTCCTGCTGTATATTTGGAGTCTGCGTCTCTCTCCTTGTGGTCGTGTGAATTTTTCTCCAAGTACTCCAGCTTTTCCCTCCACATTTAGAATCGGTGTAATCCAGATCGGGTTTTCCCTCGAGTGCGACTCGGGTTTAGAGTTTAAGGCATTCGTTATCTGCTGTGAACAAGCCGTAGAGCCAAAGAGTGTCTCTGGGTTCAAGCAAGCGTTTCGAGTACAGTATTTTGAGCATTTGTCTGCTATCAATTTCCACCTGATAAGCCATGTCATTGCGCTATCATTTGTGATATTCAGGTTCCTTCTGAAGAAAAGAGCTACATAGCTCAGTGTGGCCTTACCTGGTAAAATAAAAATAGCTGTTAAAATAGACTCCTGGTGACACAATTAGGGATGGTGTGAGGTGCAGCTATGTGGTGTGCCTGCCTCTGCATACGTGCCGGTGCTCGACCTCCCATGCAGCGCAACAGCTGCACTACAGCTCCACCCCGACAATCAGTGGCACTCTCTACATTTTTTTTGCCACAGGAGTGGAAGACGCGATGCCGAGTAACCCGACCTCGTGGCAGACTCGCCAATGTGGCTATTGCATGTGGTAAACGTGCAACCCCCTCATAGTTAATGTTGAGTTTGAAAGTTAATGATATAGTTATGTCTCTTGGTTCTTTCGGTAAAGTCACGTATAAGGGAAATAATAAAATAATAAAAAATTTTACATAATAAAATATAATACAATATTATAAAAATAAAACAAAATGAAATATAATGTTTTATTTGTATTATATAACCAAGAAGATGCATCCCTGCAGTCACGAAAGCTTTAAATCGAGATATAGTTATGGTAACAGGCATCAGAGTTAAGAAGCTGCACGAAATTCGCTTGAATGCATTTGACCTCCACGACTTCCACACTGGGTGGAGGTCACTTGGGTCAAAGAGCCAGACCCGGACACGGTACCTGCGCCTCCTTGCGAGTGGCCTCCATCCGCTTCACGGACTCCTCCGCCTCCTTCCTCTTCTCCTCCACCACTCGCCTCTCCTCCTCTACGTGCATCTGTAGTGAGAGCCGAGACGTCAGCAGGGGGAGACTCCAGCCCCCTGAGTCACCACTTACACCGCCCTTCCCTCCACACTGACCCCTCCATAGCGACGGCCCTCATCTCCACGCTACCATTGTATGGCGACTGTGAGTGGGGGGGGAACGCGGAGTGGGCAAGCTGATGCCTCGTTGTAACAGAAGCCATTTTGGAACCCTGCTGGCTTGGTGTCTGTGCCGACTCGGACCCAAGAGCCCATGTGCCCACAGCTGTCTAGTTTAGAAGTTTCATTTATTAAAATTGTCTGTCAGGTGGCTGTGATATCAGTCTCACATTTCTATTCACTTCAGTCCTTTACAAGGGAATTATGTTTATTGAGAGCCTGGCATGCAATACATCCTAAGGTTGTATCCTAAAATACCAAGCAGGAGATGAGCTGTACAGGTAGAGATTTATAAGGAAGATAATGAACACATGATGATTGTTTTTTCATCAGATGTTGTGTAGCTGAGTGACAGAATTAGTCAGATCGTGTTGCGGTGTCTCACTCCGTGGGCCTCACCTTCCGTGTCTCATGCTCCTTCTTCAGCGTGGTGACATCATGTCCTTTGTGTTCGCCTGCGATGGTGCAAGATGAGCAGACCAGGCTGCTATCTACTGTGCAGTAGAACTTCAGCTCCTCGCTGTGCTCAGGGCATCTTCTCTCATCCAAACTCGTAGTGGGATCCACCACGGCGTGGTCTCTCAACCTGGGATTCTCCACGTGAGGCTTGTAGTGGGAAAAACAGTAGGATATCTCGCATCTCAGGCAGGTCTTCACTGCAGGGGTCTGGCCATCACTGCAGTGGTCACACATGACGGCCGTGGCCATCCCGTCACTAACTCTGAGCTGCTCTGCCAGGTTGGCGAGGGCCACGTTCCTCCTCAGCTGGGGTCGCACAGGGAAGGTCGCTCGGCACTGCGGGCAGCTGAAGCTGCTCGCCGTCTCCCAGGCGGCCTCCAGGCACCGCAGACAGAACGAGTGTCCGCAGCTCAGCGTGGAGGGGCAGACGAACGTGCCCAGGCAGATGGAGCAGCGCAGCTCACTATCCACACTCTCACTGGGAGTCACACTCGCCATGACCCATGGGATTCGCTGGGATCGCTCGCTGTGTGGCTCAGAGAGACGCTGGACCAGGACCTCTCTCTTATAGCGACGGTGGAGAAGGAAGTAAAATGCAAATCATATTTTCATTGTCGTCACTGACATCATGAGACACTCCCTGGAAAGTGAACCCGTGCCCCGAGGTGCGCAAACAGCAGCCTCAAGGTGATCATGGCTACTGTACGCACCTCCCTAAATCGAAATAATAGAGCTTTGTTGTCAATATAAATTGGAGAGATTCACCTGCGTTGGCTCCTTTGTGAGATGAGTAAAGAGAGATAAACTCATTCTTCACAGGTTAGGGTGCGGTGTCTGTACCGTTAGCGCTGCACTACGAACGCATCAGAGACCCGAGTTCGATTCCCATTCACGTCCATCACCACCACCATCTTGTATTATTTATTATATATATAAACGCCTAACTTTATCTGTGAGGAACGCTGCACTTCCCGTAGTTTTCATGCAGGAGGCGCGTTGGTTTGAACGACGGAGGCGCACGGACAGACGTTCGATTACGTTGGAATCGATCTGCAGAACGAGGCGATTCGGCCTTGAATCCCAGAATCGATTTCTAGAATTGACTTGGCCCACATAGACACGACTTTGCCATTTGTTTTGCGACAATGTCCCATTCTCCCCGCATACGCTATCACAATCAACAAGTTGCAGGAACAGACGTATTATTTCGTTGTTAAGCGCACAACTTTATCTGTCTACGATTAACATGATGAAAGCTTGAGAGTGGGAGAGCGAACGAGGCGATTCCGAGTTGATTCCCAGAATCGATTCATTCCCAGAATCCACTTGGCCCCCACCGACACGACTTTGCCATTTGTTTTGCGACGACGACAATTTCCCATTCTCCCCACAAACGCTATCACAATCAACAAGTCGCATGACAGACGTTCTATTATGTTGGTGAGCGCACTACTTTATCTATCTTTGTATTATGCATATGATGAATGCTTGCGAGAGAGAAGAGCGAGGAGAGGCCAAGGAGAGGCGGCCCACTCTTCTTTCTCTATTTGCCTTCATGTTTTTTAAAGATGTTTTCACTTCCAGTAACAAATTATGGACGAGGACGAAGATCCCGTGCACCCTGCATTAACGACGTCAATACGGTGAGCAGGCAGACATCAGATGCGTTACGATGGACAATCGACACGTCGTGCCATACAACCCCTACTTGACGCTCATGTACAATGCGCACATCAACGTGGAAATGAGCACTTCCCTTCAAGCCATCAAGTACATCTATAAATACATCTTCAAGGGATTTGATTGCGCCAACATTGCTCTCACTTCGAATGGACAGCCGGAACTGCGCTACGATGAAATCACCAATTTAATAGATTGCTGGTACGTGAGCACTCCAGAGGCAATGTGAAGGCTCGAGTCCAAGATGTCCAATCGCTCGCACACTGTGATGAGACTGCCAGTCCATCTGCCCAACCAACAGACGATAATGTTTCAAGCTGAACACGAGGAGGAAGCTCTGCTAGCAGCACAGACCGGTCGCACGAAGCTGGAATCAAAGCGATCAAGACACACATCAGTGGCTCTACACCGACATCCCGCAGCACTACGTCTATGTTTGAGGCAACTGGCAGAAGCAGCAGAGAGGAGCCGACAAGATCGTGTCCTGCATGTACACGGTCAACACCAAAGACGAAGAACGTTTCTATCTTCGAATGCTGCTGTTGCATGTTCGAGGTGCGACCAGCTTTGAGTTGCTGTGGACCGTCGACGGAGCGGTGTGCGAGAGCTTCAAGGCAGCAGCTTCAGTGCGAGGTCTTCTTAATTCCGACGACAAGAGGGATTTCTGCTTGATGGTTGCCGGCACCTACATGATGCCGAAGCAGTTGCGCGAGATGTTTGCTTTCATCTGCTGCTTCTCTCAGCCCGAATCACCTCTCAGGCTGTGGGAGGACCACAGATTGGACTCTCGACTACATGTGAAGACGACACCGCGATCAACAAAGCACTTCACGATATCAACAACGTTCTGCAGCAGCACGGATTCTTTTGCAAAGCAATTGGCTTGACAACACGAAAGAGAAAACCACCGGAAGTAGATGTGTATGACCAAGTTCAATAAACAAACGAGGGCGCACGACGTCTCGCGATGCTCAACGAGAAGCAGCTCGACACGTTCAACAAGATCATCAGGCTGTCGATGATGAGAATGTGATGCACCGATGCTTCTATCTCGACGGTCCTGGAGGTTCGGGCAAGACCTTCCTGTACACAACTCTCATGGTGTACATCCGGGGTCGAGGACACATTGTACTGCCATTTGCAACGAAAAGCATCGCCGGAACAATGCTCAAAGGAGGACGCAATGTTTACAGCGGATTAAAGCTTCCAGTTCCCTTGCTCGAAACTTCAATCTCTTCCATGCGGCCTGCATCGCCACAACCTAATGTCCTGCGCAAAGCTTCGCTCATCATCGACGAAATTACTGTGCTGCCAAAAAACGGACTTCGCTGCATCAACAAGCTCTTGTGCGAGGTGATGGGCAATGATAAACCATTCGGCGGCAAAGTCTTCGTTGTAGGCGGCGACTTCCGAAAGACTCTTCCAATTGTGCCGCGAGGAACGCGAACAGACATCGTTGAGTGCTGTATCAAGGCAAGCCGTTTGTGGAAGAACTTCACGCAGCTCATGCTTATGACAAACATGTGCAACGAGAGACAAAATGGCTGCTAAAAGTTGGAACAGGCACCTTGCCGCCAGTGCTGGGAATCTTTGAAGAGGGCACAATTCAAATCCCGGAGCAGATGGTGGCAACGGAGGATCTCATTGAATCCATCTTCGGCAGCATTGCATATATGTTTATAGACGACCTTTCGAAGCAAGTCATTGTCGCACCAACCAATGCACAGACACTCGAAATGAACCGCAAAATCATCGGACAGATGCCTGGCGAGCCCGACATTTACTAGAGCGCTGATTCAGTCATGACCGAAGATCTCAATGACACAATACATTTTCCAGTCAAGTTTCTCAACGACCAGATGCCATCGGGAATGCCACCACACGTCCTGCTGCTGAAGAAGGGCATCATCATCATGCTTCTGAAGTGTTGTTGAAGACGCGTGGACAACGGGGTAAGGCACACGTATTTATTTATACAAAGGGCTTACAGTACTAGAGGGATGTATCGGCCCCCTCACCCGTACAACTGGGAATTCACCCCTAGCTAGCCTTCCTAGCTGAGTCCTCCGCTAACGGGCTAGGGGAGGCTGTCTGGCCCGACACTGGTTAGTCGGGCTACGGTACCCGGAATCCCAGAGGTCTGACTCTGGTTCCGGGACCACGCCACTGGCTCCAGCCTGCACTGCCCTTACAAGGGCGGCGTCCCAGGGGGAGTCCAGGGCCTATCTGGCTGGTCTTCTCTCTTCTCTTAACTACTCTAAGACTGAGCCCCGAGCTCTCTGGCTCAACCCTTTTTATACCCCGTTAGAGGATCGAAACCCCCCTCACGCCGTCCAGTACGGACGTCGTTGCGGGCACCACCCCGTGTGCTCACGGAGACCCCGCCCACTGTGTCTGTTTTCCATTTGCCCCTATGTAAACAGCCCTACACAAACAGACCCTCTGTAACAGCCCTACATCACCCCCCCCTGTACAGCTCGCAGCCGTCCCGGCTGCAACAACTTTCAATAAAGGTTATTCAACCCCTGGATCCCCGCGTGTGCCTTAAAAAAACGTTTTTAACGCTAACTTGAAGGAACCAACAGTAACAACAACAACAACGACAATGACAACAACAAAACCCTCAACCCCGAAAGGGAACAATCCGACGCACCCCCCCCCGAATAAATACGGATACCGTAAGAACGCTATATACAATTTGTAGCGAAGCCACAATGCACACCAATGGGCAGGGGACACCCCCCCCCCACACAACACACAATGAACACAACATATATATACAAATCTTGCGGTTCCTCAACAGTCTGCGCATTTTTGCGCGTGTCCTTGCGGTTTCACAACAGTTTGCGCATTTTTGCGCGTGTCCTTGCGGCGGGCCCCTCACACGGGGGAACCCCGGGTGGCGGACCGTCAGGTGGCAATCGTCCGTCCGGGAGCGGGGCCTCCTCTGATGCCTCGTGACTGTTGGTATCCCCAGAAGGGGTGGTCGGGCGTGAGCCCGTCAGTCTCGATGCACCCGGAGGTGGCACGGCCGGCAAGGCATTAGGTGAGCGCGGTGGGGACGGACCTAGTGAGTCGGTCGACCCCCCACACGTCTGGCCACGCATGTGTGAAGTGGGTTTGTGTGCCGCGACGAAAGGTTTCAACCGAGAGGGGTGCACGAACCATCGCCGCTTCCCCCAACGAATGCGCACGCACTGTGGTCGCAGGACCTCGACCACTTCCACAGGCCCCCGCCACGGTCGCGCCAGCTTTGGGGAGGTAGCCAGGGGTACTTGGGGACAGTGCAACCATGCCCTGTCCCCCGGTTTCCACTGTATGACATGCGCTCGACCCAACCTGAGGCGCTCGTTCGCCTTTTGACGGAGGTCCGAGTTTAACCTCGCAGCATCCCGTGCCTCTGTTAACTTAGCCAAATTAAATTTGACGTGGTCAGCCAATTTTGTTTTACCTTGCTGGTCGGGGATCTGCAGCTGGGCGCGAACAGGCGGGTCGGGTTCGCGACCGTACATAAGGTAAAAGGGGGAAAACCCCGTAGCTGCATGGGGTGCCATCCGATATGCCGCCAAGACCCCCTGAATATGCAGGTCCCAATCAGTCTGGGAATCTGAGACCTGCTGTGCCATCATTGACGAAATGGTGCGATGCAGGCGCTCGACCATTCCGTCAGTCTGTGGGTGATACGGGGAGGTCCGAATTTTCTTTGTGCCTAAGAGGTCACAGACTTGTTTAAGTAATTTGCTGGAAAAATGTTTACCCTGGTCGGTCAGCAGCCGTTCCGGGGCACCTTTGTCCAGGACGTAACCCTGAACAAAGGCGTCCACGATGGCTGCTGCCGACTGGTTGGCAAGGGGCCAGGCCATGGGCCAGCGCGTAAAATACTCGACACC